ACTCAGGCTCGGTAGGAAAAAAAGCAACCAAAAATTATACATATACGTCTTTGAACGAATCTCCATTAGTTATTCTCTTAAGCCAATGCCAGCATCCTTGATAAGCTGTCATGCATTCTACGGTAGCTGTATCGAGTTCTCTTCGTTGAAATGTAAGCCCACGAACACTTTCGCACGACTAATTTTGACAATTTTCATCGAGACACTAACGGAATTAGCTTATTTCAATCTGTAACGATCACTAGCCGTATGCAGCTTCAATATATCATTCATTCATGGTTCAAGGAAACACATCAACATCATTCTCTAACAATTCAGTTTGAAAAACATCATCTGACGTATATTAAATAGTGAGTGGAAAACTCGAAAATCAATCAGTAGGCAGATGTGTAAGTTTTCCGAGATAAGCTATAGAAGACTTTCGTAGTCGAGATTCTTGAATGTGCATCCACACGATTTATTTTCATTCTCCTCATTGAAAAGTTAACTGGAACGCTTTAAAGGGGATCGTGAAAGAATGTTCTGAAAAGTAATAAAAATAGTTGTCAACGAGTTTCATTATCGACCATTATCTACCATTATCTACCATTATCTATCATTTGTAATACCATATGTAATTTCGGACATATATATCTTCGGATTATGGAAATGGAATCATTTTTGAGCCGAATTTCAAAGTATTGTTGCATTTCTTATTAAAGCTGTTAATGGGGTTTCGTTCGATTTTCAGTTATATTATTGTCAACATTTGCAATGCATTACGAACATTACTGTAATTCAGCTATGAAAGTAGTCCAAGTATCGGATCGTGCACTTTATGCCTATCCGCATTCTTAAGAGTATGAAAGTTGCAAGGAGAGACAGACCGAAGCAGGCAGCGAAGCTTACGATTATGTTGTAAGGTTTAGGAAATCTAATGTAGCGATTAAAATATATAGAAACGCACAAACAAACGCACTTGTAATAGATATCGTGCAAACGCATAGTCTATTTAAGCAGCAGTAAAAGCTATTAGGCTACTTAAGCCCTTATAAACTTGATGCATTTTCCAAACACATTCGAATCAGTCGCAGCAATACATTTTCTATTTATTTCACTATGCTGTATCCTGCCATTCGTTGTATGCAAATAGGGCATAGAGTGTTTTCTGCGATTTAAAATTCAATAATCCGTAAAATAATATATACTTTGTTGTTTTTCAGTTATTTCGAATTCATTGGCAAGCACATCACGCTTCACAGCTGCAGCCACAACGTACGGCTATGACGTATTGGATAAACTTTTATTTTTCTTTTTCCTGAGTTAGCAAATATTATTGTTCCGTGCTTTTTGTTTTATTTTTTTTATTTTTTTATTTTTTCTGTTGCACGGAACCTACCAATATGGTTGTGTTTTATGAGCATTATCGGTATTCATGCTTGATTATGGATTAACTATAACAACTCTAAATACATTCTTTGGTATTCAATAGAATAGGTGCAACTTTACTTTGTATATCAACATTTATACGAATACAGTTACTGCGCAATAGAAAAACGAAACGGCTTAACGTTTTGTCACCGATCACTCGTAGCGAACGGTCAACTTGTAGGGAACGGCTTAATAGCTTATTAGTATTGAAAGGATGAAAAATATGAATTCATATACAGTGTCGGGAAAATTTTACCGTTTTAGGAGATCACCCCAAAAGTATAACGAGTCGTTCTTCAAATGGGCACTTTTCATTTTTCTCTGCCGTTTATTCTAATTTATACGCTTTAAAAATATCATGTATTGTACGATTTCTTTTATTGAAATTTAAATTTTTTTTTTTTTTTTGTGTTTTGTGGCGCTCGCGCGACTTTGCGCTAAATATAATTATCCCGATGAGCGAGTAACGGGACAGAAAGCAATAACAATATACAACAATACTGCTTCGCATTTAGCTATCGCGCATTGTATCCAAAATGTGCACATCCTTGAAGTTCACTTGACGCAACTACTTACGAAAAATCGGATTTCTCTCCATGTTAGTGCAAAAGATAATTTCTTGTATTCCCAAGGGACACTGTTAGCGAAGAGCTCGCTCTACACACATAATAAAAACCGAATTGAGCCACTGATGCTGATATGGAAACTGTTAACTTGGGCGAATGCTTAAAGGTACCTTTTCTGCGTCCATCAATCACGAATCACGTTGTCTGGCCGGATTCACGTAAATTTGTATCAAAATATACCGGGGTATCGACACATTCAAACAGTTCGTATTAAATAATTAGTTAATTTTTCTCATTTTAAAAACTTTTCCGCTTGTCCGTTTTGTAGAAAGTTTTACCTGTGTCATGCAGGTCTTAGGTGACCTGCGCAAAAATCATATCTAATAAAAATTAATTGTACATTTGATTTGTTAATGAACAGTCATATCAGCCGTAGGATCATGATCGTTTTTATAGTAATTTTTTTTTGGCTCTGGCAAATATTTGCTTGAGATATGTGCATAAGACAGCGTCTTTACATCCAATTACTGATATTTATATCTGAATATTCTTGCACATAAATTTTTAAAAATAAGGAAGAAATCCACTAAACTAGAATCGATCTACTAAAGCACATTGCTTTGCATGCGCATATTAGATAAAATAGTATTGAATTTCTAATTGTTTCATCACAAATTGGCGAAAAGAAGAATTCGGCTTTCGCACGAATTAAGTACAAATACACAAAAATGAATAAAAACAACCAGAGATGAAAACATTTTATGCCCAAGCACCTTCTCTACCTTCTTTAAACACGTCGCGCGTAGTGGAATTTTCTCCTCGGGAAGGGATGTTAGACATTTTTGTGAAATAAGCTGTCAAGAAGAGAACGCCAAGAAAGCCGTATAGTCTGAACCTATTGAAAAAGCATCTTATTCCATAGAATATAACCTATGCAGTCCACTACCATATAAAGAACTCTTTCGATATCTTATGCACCCATGATGAGTTTCTCATGTAATGAATGAAATTGAATAGAATTGCGTAACTAAAACTGAAGATAGATTTGTGAAATAAATAAAGGAATTGAAATAACTATACCGCTGAGCGACCGAGTAGGCAAATGATCTCGACTTGCAACTCGTTTGTTGTGGGTTCAAAAATCAAGTACAGTAGAGTTTTCAATGAAACCGATAACTTTAGATGCTAGAGCTTTAAGATTTTAGTCTTAGAATTTATTTTTCCGGATAAATTAATAATAATAATAATAATAATAATAACAACTAAGAATGCTGTGGTCGGTCAAGGTCGATAGATAACTCTTCATTAGATAGATAGGCCGCTAAATATTCTACATAACTTTTATTAATTAATAAATTATACATTATTTTTATGTAAACGCATCATTTCGGTGACTCCTCCCCGCCCCTCACAGAGGCGGCTACGACAAACGTCAACGTGATCGAAATGTAGCAATACTGACATTTCTTGTCAAAAACGTGATTATTTTCAGTTGCAGTTGTATGGCAAAGGGGCAAAAAAATTGCTCTATTCGATCAAAAGGTTTTACATCAATTTAGAATGCCGAAATACAATTACCGAGCGATTTTTGTCGCGAAGTTCTTATGATTACAATATTTTTTCGTATAACGACTTATCAACACAAGGCGAACAATCGAAAAATGGCCCCGATCTGACTCTATTTTCAATAGCGTTCGTCTTTGGGCCAAAACACGCCAGTGTAACAAATTTCATCAATATATTATGTTAAAAATATATAGACAGACAAATAGATTCGGGCAGATAAGCTTAGATCGATTCCGAATCATTTTCTATACATACATAGGTATGTCTATTTCAAGGCCTTCTGGGCGTTACAATCGTCCGCATAAACTAAATACGCTTGTACCACATGTGATATAGCGTATAATGATAGAAAGTAAGGTTATGCAACTTGAAATAGTACAACTTGTATGTAATGCAAATAATGCGATAATTCAATAAATAAAAAATGTATACATAGCTAAGCATTGATGAAAATAGCAGGCATATAGAGACGTAAACGAAGGGTATACAATATAGGCTGAATTTTCGACAATCAATCAGACAAAGAGAATAAATTCTATGTATCGTTCAAGCCTTCAGGAAGGAAATTATGAACTTTATGCGACTTTTAAAGCTTGCTTCTGCGCGTTATATAGGCAATAAGAAAAATAATTAAGATTGGATACGCTATAATACTGCGTAGGCATGGGAGTCTTTTCACATTTTCGTACAAGTACTACAAACAACATGACTCGTAGAATATTCATTCAAATTTATGTACACTTATCTGCTATAATTTATGAGTAATGAGCAAAAAACCAACTTTTTTCCTTTTCAAAAACAGAGATGTTCGTAGTTCACGTAGTAGAGTAGGTGTGTTTTGACCCAACAGGCGTACTTCCAAGAAACTTCCAAGATTTCTGCCAAATTTTAGGTCGAGAGCTTCATTTAGGCAGCCAGGTGAATATTGACAACAAACATTGCGCAGACGGCAAACCGGATAGACGGATAGACGAACATGCTTAAATCGATTCAGACTTTCATGCTGATTGAGAATAAAAATATATGCTGAGGCTTCCTTCTGGGCGATGCAAACGTTTCGACAAAACGAATATACCCTCATCCTTCGTTGATGTGTGATAGAAACATATCCTTTCTAAGTCCTTTTACTTCGTTACTTGCTTAATTAAATTAATTAAATAATTTAGTTTGCGTCAGCCTTAGGTGACGTTCGCAAAATCGTTTAGAATTTGATTTCTTTTTTTTTTTCTTCTTGGGGAGAAGTGAAGCTTTTTGGTATATTTTACAAAAACCCTACTACGTCAACCTTAAACTAATTTTCCGAAATTTTGAAAAAATATTTTTACCTCAATATACTTTGCAGCATACAGGGCGATAGGTTTAGAGCTAAGCAAATTATCCAAATAAATGCAACTTACATGAACTTTTCCGTATAATATGCTAACTTGAAATTTTTTTTTTTTTTTTTGACTATTGCAGAAGGTCTACCCTATGTCCCGCACATATGCTACGTTGGTGAAAAAGCGTACACCGCCTCAGTGGGATCTTGTTTCATTTATGAAGAAGTTAAAGATTGCTGTTGTGCTCCCGCTTTGGCCACACAATGTGAGTAGATTTATAGAAATTTATTGCTATACATTTTTAAGAAAATCACATATAGATAAAGTAAATATGTCTCTATGTTATGTATATATATATATATATATATATATATATATACACTACTGGAGCAAGTAGTGTAAGTTAAAGATAAAGGCAAGCGATATTGAAATTGCGAAATAAATTGGCAACCGACGACGACTGTGCTCTTTTTCCAGCAAACTGCTAGAAGAGAACGATGTAATCCCTAATTTAATGGCGGATTTTAGAAAAGCAGCAGAATAGCGACTAATACCAGCTTTTCATGAATGTGTAAAGAAAATCGTAATTGAAATTCATATTTGGAACAATTACGGCAACATTTGGTTGCGTATTGGGTGAATTGTGTCGAAAATTGGAAATCAGGTTTCTTGTCTAGGATTGGCACGAAGCTGTTCCACATTATCGCGTGCACATAGTTGGGGACTTTTTGTGTTTGGTTTTTTTGCCGGTTTTATTTTGGCACCAGTGCGGCAAAGATGCAAGCATGCGGCTTTGACACGCCCTACGCATTGTGGATAGTGTGGCTACTATGTCTCCCATTCCTTGCATGCACAAAAAAGAGAATCGATCGTGAGAGATTGGCAGCAAAAAGCATTAAGAAATGACTGTTAAGCCATTCACTGTCAATACTAGTGAAACTAGGGCAAACTAGGGTCCGCTGGCTTTGTGAAATATTTTTTGTTTTCTTCTTATTTTTTTTTTTTTTCGTTATTTACTCGTGGCACATTCACCTATGCTAATTACCATTTATATATGCTTTATGCAGACGCAACGTAATGCGTAATTAATAATTTGCATATAGTTTTAAGTTAGTTTAACTTAGTGATAATTTGTTAGTGTTTCTTGCTTACATACATAGATATGCACACTGTAGTATTTGCTTTAACATTCATATATCTGTATCATTCATTATTCATTCATTTATCAATCATTGTAAATTTCGGTCCTGTTAAAGAACAAAATTTTATCGTTCATTACGCTTGTAAAGTGATTCGATTAAAAATTCACGCAATTTTCGAATTCGTCTTTTACTCTTGTTTTCGCTTCTGCAAGTGTAATTCTGAATTCGTTTCGTTTTCCATAGCAAAAAATATAGCTGCATCGCACATAAATGTTCCGTGAACTCGACGTAATAAAAATTAAAAAAAAAAAAAAAGAAAAAAAATAAATGTGCGATTAGGGAAAATTGTTGAAGAAATTAAACACTTGTTCTAACTATTAATATGGACGAGTTCGTTGCCATTGTCGTGATTAATCAAAATGCATGACAATTAAGCACTCGGTTTAACTTTTATCAAATACGAGTTTATTACCACATACATGCCTACGAAATTAAACGCTCAACTTAATATTCATTGTTTATGTCGTATGTTAATCATAGTTTAATAACTGGTTAAATTTTATCAACAACAAATTTAATGCTGAGTGGTTTTAATGGGACGATCAAACTCATTTTTCTATATTAAATTTCCCGGAATTTAGTTAAAAGAATAAAAAAAAAAAAAAAAATTAGAGTAATCGAAAGCATCGAATCTATGATGAATGGTCGGTCTTTGGGAAAATATTAATACAAAATATTGTAAACCATTGTACAGTGTAAACAATCGAGAAGCATAATTTGTAAGATAATATAAAAATATTTACTATATTTATAAATAATTTGTTACATAGAAGACTTGGGAATTCGTTTGTGTTTTCGTCATTATTTGACGCCTCCACATCATCACATGCTTGGTATATACAAATGATTTGTATTCTCTGTATCTATAAACAAAGAGGTTCATTAAAACAAAACATATCATTTACAACACTTGTACATACTTTTTTAAATATATAAGTTTGTTTTCGAAATAGATTTCTCATTTGCTAAAGGTGATCAGCCACATCATTATCCTTCTCTGATGGCCTTCTTGATTTTCCCATAGATCAGCTGGAATGCAGACTGCAGTCGGCTAGAGTTTGATGAAAGCAGATATTAAAAAAAAAATATTGCTTGCAAAGCTTGATTTGCTATTTGTGTAGGGTTTTCAATAGGACTCTTCGTTACCGAACTTATCTGAATTTTCATTCACTCCATAATCGAATTAGTCCATTTTATGTGATAAAAGTCGTTATTGATTGTTATCCAAGCCTTGCAAAAAAAATGCGGCTCAGTGGAACGGTTCTACTTTTAATTGTACAGGACTTCATGTTGGTGCTTTAATTGGTGCCGTAAGTGATTGTGTGGTGAAAGTCGTTATCTTCCTCAATATGATTTAATGGACACGTGCTGAAGTTATGTTAAACGTTATGTGTGCTTGGCTGTGGTTTACGGACTAGCAAGGAATTTTTATTGCTAAGTCTAAACGCAAGTCCATGCTCTTACAAAAGCTATATGTCGAACTGATTGAAACGATACTGACACACACCTATTTAAATTTAGGAGCTAAAAATTTGATCTTCTTGTCATACATCTTTGTAAGAACGGCTACATGGGAGGACGTCTAAAGAAATGGTGTCTTCCAATCCAAGTTTTCAAGATTTATACATTACTTCGAGGTACCATCTTCCACCAACTTTTGGTGAAAAATGTTAAAAATTGCAATTATTTTTCATATAATGCCTTTTTTTAAATGGGATCTAATACGAGATGTGCTGAGATAGAAAAGTTTCGATTCAATTCATTTTCAATAGCTTGCGTCTTGAGTCTGTAAGCAAGAGTTCATCAAAATTTCTCCACATATGCGACCTGCACATTGAACACAAAAATACATAGTCATACATCAATCGATTTGTATAATGTAACATGAATGTATCTCGAGTCATTAAGTGAATCAACACAGTGCTACAAATGATGATGCAGGAAGAAAACGTAACGCCACGACTCTCTATAAAGATTTTGTAGTACATTTACAGTCAAATGGAAAAGAACAAGCGATGGTCAATTAAGTAGCCATTGAAAGTTCTTTTCATTTTTCAGTTGTGTTGATAGCATTTTGGTTTTTGCGACTGGGTACTGGGTGCTGTCGCAGTTTTGTTTGTTAGTGTGTGGTTCCCGTTTTGTCTTTGGTTTGGCTTTATAAACGTTCTTATCAATGCTTTCAGATATATTTCTTAGTCATTATTGCAGGCTTTGATATTAGATATTAGTCCGTTTTCTGCTCTGCACTACCCGGGATTGTTATGATATCAATACTTATTTAACAAATTTTTGTTGTTGTTGTATGCTGCTACCTACGTTTGCATAATGCGCCTTTAACTGCTTAATCTGCTAACTAAGGCGGATTCCTTTATGCTTTAATACATTGCCTACTCTCAATATGCTTTGTTTTTAGCCCTTAAGGGTGTCGGTATAGCATTTTCCGGGCAATTTTCTTTAGTTACTTTTATTGCATTTTCTTTGGTTTTCTTTGGCATTCTACAAGGACGGAATGTTTATATAAATCATGTCTCGCCAAGACAGATGCGGATTCTAATCGTTATGTAAGTTGCTCGTTACGGGACCGTTTCGGGTGCCCGAAATGTACTCGTATTATAGGCAATAGCTGCGCACACAGTATTGGATCGTCTTTTCGTGCAAACCAATATAGATCTGTCTGAGATATGAAAGGAACTGTCGGTTTTATTAAGTAAGTTCGATAAAGATACGACAATGTTTGAAGTGTGCAATTATTTGGAGTCTCCAGCTGCCTTTAAAAAGTTAAAGGATCAAGAAAGTATTTAATTTACCCTCCCAATATCGCATCACGAGAATCTCCTCCTAAATATCATAATTCTGCCGTAGCGGTTTCTTCACTCAATTGACCTCTCACTGAGAAGCTTGTGGATTCCAAATGACGTAATCTTTTAATGAAGCTGGACGCTACTTTCAGCTAATAATTCTGCTCTATTCTTAATAATAAACAAATAAACAAATAAACAATTTTTATCCCTACCTAGATCTACCGGTGCAATTGAGAGGCAAAACGGTGTCCATTTTTTATCCCATTTGAAACACTTCTTTCCCGTTTTCGAATGGTATCTTGATTAATAAAGTGACTTTAAGGACTATGTCTCCTTGAAAGCCGTATTTGTATCCAGCTAGCGCTAGATTTATTGCGGACATCTTGCGGCAAAAGTTCATCTACTAAATCGAGTTAGCATTTTTAAAATGTCTACAACACAACCATCAGTTATATTAACCTACAAAATGTCTAATTCCTACAAAAAACATCGAAAGTGTGTTAATTATGGTCTTTCTTAAATGAATTCATTTCTAGGGATAAGCTTCAAAATACTAATTCGGTAATCCATCCACCTACAGCGACGCTTCCACCCGCAAGAAACTAAATTATTTTCTGACCCAGTGATTATAGTTTATCAAAATGTAATGGGCCTAAATTTCAAAATTCAGTCGACTTGCCTGGAGTATTTCTGTTTGATTTCACCGAAATCTGTTAGAACTTGGTCGACGAATTTTTTTCCCAACGCATTCCATGTTTTCAGATAGGTTCGTCTAAATCGTGTTAGTGGTGATGTTTTAATTGCCTTATCAGATGGCTTTCCGTCATATTACATTACTAAAAACTTATACTTGACTTATTCCTGCATTGCTCGAAATGCTGATATTTCTACTTGTAAGAAACATGCGTCCTTTATTTGTAAAGTGGCTGAAGTCTGAAAATCCACTTATATGGTCATAGCATTAGGGTATTTTAATTTACCGCATACCACTTGGTCTCTTAGTGTCAATTCAGGCCGTATGGTCTCCACTTCAATAACCGAAAATCCATTGAGTTTTTCAATAAAATATATGATCGGAACCGTCTTCAATGTAAGCATGTGAATAATTGTAATAATGGGAGACTCTTATATCTTAGCTTTGTTAATTTCCCCGAAATTATTGTAAATCGCTGTCTGCTCTTCAGTTTACCTAAGCATGCATATCATTTGCCAATTTGTTTAATCCTTTCAATGCAATGACAGATTGACTCTCTTCAACAATT